TTTCTAAATCCCCATTGAATGATCTTTTACCTCATATCAGCGTGGCAAGAAAACACATTTGTCCTCATGGACTGCACGCAATTAAAAACAATATTGTACACCAATTCACAAACAAATGACTCTTTTAAACTGACAAAACACAAAATAATAAACGGAATGAAACCAGTAGTCAAGTTTTAAGATGAGATTTAAAAGTACCTATCAATTGTGAACCCTAATATATATATAATATAATATAATATAATATAATATAATATAATATAATATAATATAATATAATATAATATAAAACAGTTAGTTCTAAGTTTACATGTATAATGCATTAGCTAAACAGATTTTATATATAGGCTATACATATGTGACATTAAAACTGAAATATGCCCAAATGAATTGGGATCTAATTATATTGAGCGCTTGTGAATCAAAATCGAAACATATCAGGATATCTGTATCAATACCCAGCCCTAGCATTCAACTACAGCTCACTGTTTATAAACACACCCTGTATGTAAAGCCAAACTTGGGTTTGATCACATCCGGCACCACTTAGACAATGCGGTTCCTATGTTTTGTACAAGCAGGAAGGAGGGGGTCACTGGCCACAGCGTCCGTATGGGTCACCTACACGGTGGCGTGAACACCCCATGGAGAGTGGGTACAAAAGCTGAGGCATCCACCCAGAACTAGCCATTCCACGGATGGAAGTACTCATCTGGACAAGGTGGCAGGGGGTCGTAGCCCTCCAAACACTTCAGAAATTTCAAGTGACATGCTTCCGAGAACGTTCCCTGGACCAATAGCGGAACAGGATTTTTTTCACTCTTACAGAACAATGCTCCACTTGTCCTTTTGTTGGTCGGCAGTTACGGACAATGTTGTTAAATGGCTGCTATTCAGAAAACACACCCTTAATCTCAGGATGGACTCGGCGATTGCACACTAAAGAGTGAACACCAAAGAATTGCATTTTCCTACTACATACCTTTTTGGCAGAGGAAATAAAACCTAACCTTCAAACACAGACTGGAAAAGATGCTGAAAAACGCATACTAAATGTTATCACTATGAAGACTAGCTATAGGTTTACTGTACTTACAAGGAAGAGTCGACTGTAAAAACTGCTCTAAATTTGAAAATTATTTAACAATAAGTCAAAAGCAGCGCCAGGGCCTTCACAACGTTCACCGTTCCAGTTGGGACCCTGTCTGTCTGGCTGGGTGGGATTTTTGAGAAGCCGACTTAACTGCTTATTAAATCATGTCTACGCAAAAAAAAAAAAAAAAAACACGCTTATTTTGCAAGGTCCCACAAATCAGAAAAGCAGTTGAAACTGAAAACTGCGAAAAGAGAATTGCCAAAGTTATTACTCAACAATTTATTACTTAACAATTTAACCCACTACGACTCCAGCTATTCATACTGTTATATATGTTACAAATAAACTGGCACGTGTTATAAAGTCTACATTGACCAGACGTTCTTGAGAGAAGAGCATAACAAATATACAGTAGAAATGTGAAATGCCTGCAGATAATTCTTGAACGACAGTGAGTCATACTCTATACTTACAGTATCTAAAGCAACCTGAACGGGTCTAACCAGTATTGAGGAACAAAAGCTCATCTGCCATGTCTTTATCTGGCTCTCTGTGGCACAGAAAGGTCTAAAAAGGTCAATCACGACTTTTGATAAACAGAGATTTAAAAAAAAAACTACAGTAAAACCCACCTTATTAAAATGACTTGCATGCTTTCCATATAATTACTTTACAATGCATGACATCTGCACTATCTTTTCCATTACAAAGCAAATCACTTCAAGTAGACACTCTGAGTGTCTACTGAGAATCAGAGTCATGTTCAGTCCCTTGAGACAGACAATTCAAAGAAAGTAACGATTTGAACATATCACTTCTTTAAAAAGACAAGAAAGGACCAAACATACATGTCAGCGTCTGGACAAACTGTTTTAGACAACACTGTTTTAGATTAGGTCACAGGGAGACGTCCGAATAAAGTCAGAGAGCAAAAGTTAAAAAAGCAAGTCTGCATTTGTTTGTGCCCTGTGTCTTCAGCCCAAACAGCAGTGGCCAGATATAGAATTGCGCTGTGGCATCGCATGTCCTAGACCAGCTGCAATGGCATGTGAATCCTGTAAAACTTGAGACAGAAAACTTTCTCGAACGGGTGGAACACAAGCATTAAACCCTTCAACACCCAGTGTTTATATTCTGGATTTTTATATGTAGTTTATTGCTTATTTTTAACCAACAAAGGCTTTTGAAAAGTTACTTTCAAACTTGGTGAATGCTCTGCTCTTAATTTAGGTCATTTTAGGACAAATTGGGATAAAAAAGCATTTTAGAGGAAAATTCTTGGGTTTTGAAAGCCACATTCACTGACCAGACAAATTCACTTTTTCCAGGCAAAAAAAATAAATAATAAATCTAAGTTGAATTTAAAAAATAAATTAAAAATGATAACCGTACTTGTGCTTTTTCAGCAAAAAAATTAAAAGAAATTCACTCGTTCCAACTTTCTGGTACAACTTTACTAGCAATAATCAAAGTTGCAACTAACAATTTGATCAAATTATTTTCTTTTTCTACTTTAAAAATCTTAATAGCATAATCCATGCACTCAACATGTTTAAAGAATCTGAACATTTTTGGGACAATCTCGACTGGACCAGCTTGAATTTGCATTAGACTAAAGTGAGGCCCCGCATTTAAATAATTAATCAAATAAATCTTTTTCACTCAACATGCACGAATATAATTCCCTTTTCATCTAAGCTGGACTACCAAGCATTCACTACAACGCCCATTCTTTCATCCGTCCTGTTTTTTTGTTATAGGGGCCCTGAAATGTTGCATATATTTAAAAGCACTGGGCTTTCACCCCCTCAAACCTTTGCAAATCCATTTAGAGAGACAGGCGTGCAGTCCAGGACTGTTTTATAAACTTATTGAGGGTTTCTTTCCGCTCGGTGTCTGGGGTAAACAGGGACAGACTCTGGGGCAATAAATCCCCCCTTTCTCTCTTCAGCTATTTATTTCATTACATTTTACTGTGGAACATTAATAATGTTAACAAATAGTTAATCAAAATGTCATCACATTTAAATAACTGCAACACATAAGTAAAAAAAATAAATAAATAAAAATAAAAATAAAGTTGATCTGAAACAAATGTCTAGACGAGTTCTGGGTGAAATGAATTTATGAGCTCTCACTGTGTGCTGGCAGTTGATAAAACAAATTGGGCCAAATAATAATGTCCAAAACACTCTCAAAAGAAACAGCAAAGCATAACTCTTAATGGAAATGCTTTTTCAATACAAGCCGAAATGTTTAACACATTCGCGGTTTGTAAGAACAACACAAAAAGAAAAACACAGCTGCACGGAACTAAACAGACTTTAACACATTATTAACAAGCGTAATTCACTATCTATTAATTTTGTTGATCCCGCTGTCAAATTACTTAAATTATGATTTTTCTCCTGATAGACTGCCACACTTGCGCAACGAAAATAGCCTAGTCACACTATTTATCTTAGTCACTCATTATGTATCCAACCAGTTCATAATTTCAGACATTTTCACCCATGGGTTTTCAGTAGAAAAAAGTTCCCAAAACTGAAATGCAAACCAAATTAATTTGATTTAGGCTAGTTAAAACTGAGACATCAACTAAACTTCCCCATTTTAGTGGTTAACAGTCTATTATTTGCTGTAATTTCCGTATTTGGGACAATTGTAAAGTTTAAAAATAAAAAAGGTTTGAATAGTTATAAAAGACGGAGGTCCGATAACCTGCAGTGATCCAGTGTGTCCGACAGAGATCACTGCGTCATCACGCGGTCGGATATGAGTCATCTCTCAAGATATTACAATCATAAAAAAATGTAGCCTACATACCAAAATATTGTGATTATTTGAATAATATCCGTCTCAATTAATGTGTAGGCTATTTAAAGGACCGTGTTCAATAGGCCTATTTCAGCCTTCAAAACTCCGAGTCTGACAGTTCCACACTAGGAACAGTGAAACCAAAGTAAATGTTTGTACTGGACTCTGCGTTTCTAAATGCAAACCATAGGCTACAGAACATCAATTTACATAATTAATCAATATGATTTCCCACGAAAAACTAGAAAACATGGGGTAGAAGTTTTAAAAGGAAGTTTTGAGGACAAGCCAAAGGGTAAAATTACATAATGAATGACAGATAGCCTACAAAAAGGCCAATGCATGACGGAGGACAAAATCCATTCTTCAAAATCCATTAAAAAAAAAGTGAAAAAGGCGCCGATTGAATAATAGTGTATGTTTAATTAATGCTGTTTATTGGACCTAATGATAAGCAACATTCAGAAGCCAAAGTATTAAAACATGAATTAAAAAAAAAAAAATAGAAAGCATGAATCCAAAATCCGCAGCCTTTTCTATAGCCTATGAATTCTAATTTTGAATAGCCTATTTAGGATTTCTTATTCCAAAGAAATAGTTTTTATTTCTAAATAAAATTTTATTTCGTTCTTATCACAGGCTATTAACTTTTAATTATCGATTTCACAAGTTTCAGAATTTCAACTCAATTTTCGTAGTAATTAAGTTACATTCAAATTGACCGAAAATAGGTCGATATAACCCTTAATACATAAATGTAGCAACTCAACTCTAGTTAAATTGTAATGGGCCTGTGGGCTAATTTACAGCTCAAGTCTCGTTCTCGTGGGAATTATGCCAATACAAATATTGCACACACAAAAAAGAAAAGAAAAAGAGAAGCACACAAAGAATGCCTTAAATTAAAATAAATTAAATAGCCTGCTGAATAAAAAGAAAAAGCCAAAAGCTAGTTAATGTGTAATGTGTCAATCGTCAATGTGTCGGTTATGCTTTACTTCACTGAAAAAAAAATTAAATAAAAAATACAAGTCAATGGAAGTGTTGTCTAAATTTAAGTGTAGCTATTTATTGTTTACGCTCTTACCTGTACCAGTCCAGTCCGTTGTCATAGTTACGGTCGAAGAAGTGCGGCTCCGCTCCGACCGCGCGGATATCTGGATGCACGCGCAGAAACTCCAGCAGCGCGCGCGTCCCGCCCTTCTTCACGCCGATGATGATCGCCTGAGGCAGCTTCTTGTTGCCCGAGCCGTTGGAGAAACTTGACAGCGAAGAAACTCTCCGCACGTCGTCCCAGTCCTCAGCTCGGTCTACGTCCCCTTCATCTTTAGAGAAGTCTCTGGGAGCTCTCCTGACCGAGGGCTCATCATAATCTGACTCCACGTCCGTCCACGAGCTCTGCGGTCTGGACAGGAGCTTGGACATCATCAGGTCCGGCCGGCCACTTTCTGCCTCAGCATATTTCCCGAGGAAATCCGTCTCCTTCGCTCGAATATTGTTATTATTGTCCACAACTAAACCTGGTGGCATAGTGGCACAGTAGCCCACGCAGGAGTACAGCATGTAGACCCAGAGGAGCAGCATGATAAAGAGGAGCCCGAGTTTCTTCTTCACGGGACTGACGGAGAGCGCGTAAAAATGGTGACAGAACAGGCTATATTCCATAAGCCCTGTGCGTGCAGACCATCACACTCCAGCTGGACATATTGACAGGTAGGTAAAGTTCTGTCCAGGTCCAGGCTCGGGAATCCTTCTCAAAAGTCTTTAAACGCCATTGAGGTTCACAATTAAATCCTTACACGTGAAATAAACTATCCCAAAGTGGACGGGGACATCTAGGAATGCGATTTTAGTCAGCTGTCCTCGTTCATTTCTCCGAAAGAATACGAGAAAACTGATGAGAAAGACCAGTGCACTTGATTCCCAGCCGGAGAAGCTGCTCCCGGCCGCATCCTCCAGTGTCTGAGCGCTTGCGAGAGAGTGGAGTTTATACAGCGCTGATGTTTGTGATTGACAGCAGGGCCAGCCTACCGCTGCGCACTGATTTGAATAAAGGCGGGGTTGATTAAATATGCCTGCCAATCAGGGGGCGACATAGGCGGGGATTTTAGACAAGACACTAGGTCGCGAGCCGAATTAACGCTCTTATTGGATAGAGGAACATAAAACCGAATCCTATTATTCCAGTTTTTGGGAGTTTCCAAAGAGTTACACATTTTACGCAACTCAAAGGTTTAGGTTCGATTTGAAATGTCATACAAAATGTTCGTAGCCTATAAGCCTATAGCTGGGCTACGCCTGCATGTGTTTGATAAATTTAGCATTTTAAAGTAGCCCTACGCATATGTAGCCAATTATCCATAGCTATTTAAAAGACACAACTATAGGCAGATATGCAGCCTTATTTGTATTTTTTTCATATTACACTGAAAAAACCTGCCGTGTAGAAACAATTTTCAGTGAATGAAAAGACATAGCCTATACTGACAGTATTTTTCAATATCATTGTTTTTTTTAATATCATTTTTTTATTTACAACTCTCAAAAACTTTATTATTATTTTTTTTTTTGTGGTTTAGCCTAAGTCTTTTATAGGCTAGACTAGCCAACTAAATTTGATATAAACTAGTTAATCAATTAAATATATATTAAATTGGTAAAATGAACAAAGTAGGCTACATAGGCTAGCCTACCTCTTTTTTAATGTTTTAATAGTTATCAGGCTATATTAATAGTTAAAAGGCTTTAGCGTCGGGGATACATAGCCTATGTAAACGTCTTAAACAAATGTAGGGCAACAAGAAATTCTGCTAATCGCATTAACATAAAATAAAATATATCACTCAATGTGAAGTTAAAAATGTAACACGATATTTTCCCACCAAATGGCTTAACTGTAAAGATAGCTGTCGAATTTTGCAAAACAGTCGAACTTGTCAAAGTGTTTGTGATGACATTTTAAATTAGGCTATAAATCAAATAAACTAAAAACTTTATTAAAATAGCCTATTAAATAATAATTTTATCATCACTTATATATTTACCGTGTCTTTTTTTCTTTCTTTTTTTTGTAAGTCTTGAACAACAAAACAAGCGGCGTTTCCAGGTTTGGAAACATGCAGCTGTAAAGTGAAGAGTGTTCGACTAAAGAACGCAGCACTTTCCGCGTTTCCACACACACACTGGCATTAGCCTACTTTTCCCCAGTTGCTCATGATTATTTCAAATATAACTAGAAACCTTTAAAGTTGATTACAGAGCATTCATAAAGTTTTTCAAGACTGGAAATCAGTTTAAAAATGTCCTGATAATTGCAGGTTTTACAAGATCTTTAGAACCCGCTTAACTTTGAAAACACAGACTGTCAGCATCAACATCTGAAGTGGATAAAAACCTTTTATCAAAGTTATACATGCATTTTGAACAATACCCATTCTTGGACAAGTTTGATGAACTTTTTTTATCCATTTAAATTGTTGTTATATGTGCGTGTGTGTGTGAACATGTATCTCTCTATTCTCTCTCTCATATATATATATATATATATATAGCTATATATATATATATATATATATATAGAGAGAGAGAGAGAGAGAGAGAGAGAGAGAGAGAGAGAGAGAGAGAGAGAGAGAGAGCAGATGCTTATATTATACATGCTTATTTAAGCATTATAAAGAGTATGTCATGTCATATTATGCATGTTGTGTTATTAATTAAAGTTCAGAAAGTACTACAGACTCTTAACTAATTCGAGCCAATATTAAAACAAAATTGTGTTTAAGCCATATTTAAATCGAGCAACATCTGAGTTATGAATTATGTCCAGCATGGACAACAATTTAGAAAAAGAAAAGGATAAAATGATTTATGCTTAGTAAAAAAAGAATACAGGGTCAGAAAAATAAATTAAGTCTGAATATTTTTTCTGAATAATGAATTACCACTGAAAAGTGTCAACAAAACGGAAAAAAAAGCAGATTTCTAATTTTTATGTTTAATTTTATGTCTCCAAAAATTTCTGTAGCTTGAACAGTAGAGCATTGCGCTTGGATTGTCAAGGTCGTGCTCGATATCCAGGCACATGAACCGACAAAATGCATATCTTGAATGTAAATTTAAATACAAGTTTCCTCCAATTGGTGAAACAAAAATTAAATCAGCACAGCATTCTTTGTTATAATGTATACTTTTCAACATGACTATTAACTCCATCCCAGACTCTTCCGTCACCTTTCACAAATATAACATGAACTAGACCACATTTCTGAGATTGATGTCACGGTGCGTGTTCAAGACTGAGAGACTCCCTTAAGACAAATATATCTGCAAGTTCGTAGGGAATATTTTGCCCAAGAAACATTCATCCAGCCCATGACTGATTTCAAGCAAGTGGCGAGTAGGTATAAATCAGTTTCAAAAGCCTTTCACTACACTGTTTTCCTTGCACACTTCGTGCCAGGAATACTTGATGCACTGCTGCCCAACGTCTGCCAAAAATGTTTGTCATTGTGCCTAACATGCTTAAACGGCAGTTAAAGAGTATTTTAGAAAAATACCGTTTCTAGCTGTCACTCAAGAGTTGAGAGTTCAGAAAGACAGAATTTATAAACTTAACCATATTAACAACGCCAAATGAAATCATCCCGCATTTCAGTGTAAGATTTCAAAGCGTTGTGTTGCCTGTAAATGAAAAGAGAGGAGAAATCCACCTGTTGCTGTTGTAACAAATGAAGGTCTGGGAGGCTGTTAAAAACTGTAATGAGAATCCAAGCTGGATGAGAAAAAACACAGAGAGCCAAAGATCATTATGGGAAATGTGCTCACCTCCTCAGGGTTCACAGAGCTCATAATGAATGAACGCACTGTGAGAAACTCTCTCCGTGACACTTGGAGTCAAACAATATTTTTCTTGAGAAGAGGATTACTCCATTTATGATGCATCCGTCAAGCCTTGCCTGATGAAGGAGAGGGGGAAAGCATTTAAACAGGAAAATTAAACATTTTTCGTATAAGCTAATGCAAATGATCATAGCCATACCCTATTAAAAGTGTGCAGGGCGTCCATTTCGATGGGTACTGGGAAGTCTTCGTCCCACACAGGGTGTCCATCGCGGCAAGAGCGGAAGCTGTAAAATCATGGTGGGAGAGTCCACGGACCCCAGGAGGGCTGGAACTGCTATTTAATCTATTGACATGTTGGGAACAGCTGTTTCACTCTCTTTTTCTCCCCCCTCCATCCCTCCATCGCCTCTCTGATGTGAAACGCACTGGCTGCATCCAGAGCAGATCTTTACGAGGGGAAGAATGCCTCGCTCTAAACCTCAGCATATATGTGGGCATCTAATGGAGGTGGTGAGAGAAGTGGAATCATAGAGGACAACTGGGAAGGAAACAGAGGAGTAGTATCGAGTGTTGCAGCCGGACAGGTGCTGAGGTCGATGCTTAGGAGATTATATAGGCTGATATCTTAGCCAAATGTGTCCAGAGCAGCCAGACATTGTTTCCAGGCCTGTCTGGAGATGCAGTGGGATTCTTCTGTAAAGAAACTCAGCCATGCATTCAATTGCATGGTGAACTAAATACAGGAGACTACCTGCGACACACATTTACAAAATGTTGGACATGTACAATAGAAATTGTATTGGCATAGCAAAAACATACAGAACAAAAGTTGTTGGTCAGCAAATTTTGTTTTGTTGTTGATCAAAACAAATTGATCCAAAGTGATTTTCACGTTGTAACTTAACATTTTTATTTCAAATAAATCCTGGCTTTTTAACTTTCTATTCATCAAAGAATCCTGAATAAATCATGCTTTTCACAAAGAAAATATATTAAGCAGCACAACTGTTTTCAACAAATAATAAGAAGAAATGTTGAGCACCAAATCAGCATATTAGAATGATTTCTGAAGTATCATGTGACACTGAAGCCTGGTGTAGTGGAATAACATACCTTTTAAAATATATTGTAATAAAAAAAACAAAACAAATTTTACTCTATTTTTGACCAATGCAATGCAGCTTTGGTGAGCATTAGAAACATTTCGAAAACATTTGAATAGAAATACATGTATATTCTATAACATAATTTAATTTATAATAAATTCATTATAACATTTTGACTAATATATATATGGTACTGTGCAGAAGTCTTAGGCACACTAGTATTTTCACCTCAAAGAAATGGTTTTAAGCCAGTTATTTATATATTTTGTTGTAATGTCTCAGTAGGAAATATCAGTTGACATTTTCAGACATTAGTCTCTGTTTTTTCTGTTTCTTCATATAATTTCAGATGCACTCGATGATGGTGAGATCTGACCTCCGTGTGGAGCATTGGCTGTTGTCAGATCCTAATTTCACTGGATTATTACAATTAATGTCTGGAAATGTATATTTTAAAATATATAAATAACTGGCTTAAAAAACCATTTCTTTGAGGCAAAAATACTAGTGTGCCTAAGACTTCTGCACAGTACTGTATATATATATATATATATATATATATATATATATATATGAAGAGTTCAGATGCAAAAGCCTCTAAGTGCCATTTGAAATTTCTTCTAGAATGATAATTTTTTTCAAGCTTGTATATTTAAGTTCAGTGATTTCACTTAAATGGCAATGATAATTTCCTATTAATTATTATTTAAGTGAAATTACTGAACTTAAATATACAAGTTTGATAAAAATCATCATTAAAGAAGAAAATTTCAAATGGCATTTAGAGGCTTTTGCTTCTGAACTCTTCATACTGTATATACACACACACACAGTGGGAATGCACACACACTGGGAACATCGAAGCGCAGTTATATAGCATTTCACCAATTTCAAATAAAAACAAACACAATCTTGATCACAGCACAATTTATTAATAAGAATTTTCATTTTATTTGTGTCTTCCACAAGTCATTGGTACAGTGTGGTCAGAGACGAGTAAACAGAAAATGCTGAATAAGCAAACATAGTATCGAACAATGCATGGCTGCATTCAATGATATTCTGCACTGTTACATTCAGTAATGAATCAACAGTAATTCAGTTCTGGGGAGTTCAACTCAGCTGACTGAGTTTATTTGACTAGTTTTGAAATAATAAAGGATCTTTGATGGAGCTGATACCCGAGAGCTTTTAAAAACGATCAGCCTAAACTCAAGACTCAGAGGGACGGATTTTCGTGTAGAATAAAGACTTCTGGGCCAGCAGTGAGACTCGCGGTTTCTTTACTGAATCATTTATCGCTGAAATGAAATATTAACAGACTTAGAAAGAGAAAACTTTGAAAATGTCATTTCGCAAGTAATTAGATGAAGCCAAACTTGGAAATGACTTGCTAGGTGCATTAAAACAAACCATTCTCCATTATGTCCACAGTAATGGTGATGTTAATTGCAAATTCTAGGCAAAATGTATTTGTGGTCTTTATTTCAGTTCAATCCACTTTGCACATAGACATATCAGCCTACAGAAAGTTACACTCTATGAGTTTATAGACAACAGGGGGCTGCGTCAAATAAATATGTATTTACACACAAATAACATTAATTTGCGTCCAAGTTACCAGAGGGATTTTTTTTTTAAAGCTATGCATTTACATATACATTAATGTTATTTTTCCCTGATGGATCCTTTTATAACAAATGGAAGAGGTTATGACTTCCAAAAGTATGGTGTCTTTTTAGCTCCAACTCCAAGATAACTTATTTTGGGGCTGACAGCAATTATCTATCAAGTATGAAAATGGCAGAGGATTGTGCTTGCTCTACAGAGCCAGAGAAGGCGTGCTGGGAGCTACAGCTGCCTCGTCCCGTGACACGCGGCTCTTCTTGCAGGTGAGGGCCAGCAGCAGCAGCATGGGCAGGTGCCAAAGACTGCAGAAGAACAGCTTGCGGGCGTTCTGCCTGTCACCCCTGCGATAGAACCTGAAGGCCAGGAAGCTGATGTAAAGGTTAATTGGCAGGGAGACTAAGGGGAACGTCCATGTGGTGACGTCCACCATGGGGGCCAAGGCTGAGAGGCCGATCAGGCCTACGCTGTGGCGTAGGGCCACGCGTTTACAAAGGCCTGGATGGGTGACGGACATCATTCGGTACCCACCCCGCGAGTAGTCCTCTCTCAGGTTCCAGCTCAATGCATTAAAATGAGGAAACTGCCAAGAGAACAGGAAACCTCCCAGTAAGAGTGCTCCTGCAGACACAGAGAGAGGAAGAGAAGGAGTGAATAATCAAACAAGATCACACAGATCATTTAAACACCATTGGTGGAGGAAGTGCATGTGTGCAAACAGGAAATGAGAGCGTGGGGAAAACTACAACAGTGTTAAAACACTGCGTTCTATCGTCCGAGTTCCTTCACATCCTGCTATGGAGGAAACAAATACCATTCACCTGCATTCAGAAGCTGGCAGAGTGGAAAGGTGACACCGCACAAACAGCGGCCCGTGCAGAGGTAGTGGAGCATGACACGTAGGGCTGCCTTTGTGTGTGTGTGTGATCTTAGAAAACACACTTGTAGTTAAATCCTCAGGGAAACAGAGCAGGGCAGCATGACAGAGACCTCGGACACATAGGTCATCTTTTAAAGCATTGGGTGTTTGTGAACGCTCTCAAACCTGGGGATTTTAAGGTTTAAGAACCTGGTCACAAAAAACGGATAAATTGCTTTGAGAAAACAGAAAGGACACCAGAGACTCCAAATATAAGATCAGCGTGTGATCAGTTGTTGTTGTCAATGTAATTTTGTTAAAATATTTTTTCCAATTCACTTTGGAGCCACTAAGGGTGCATTCATTACAAGAAATACATAAAATAAACAGGCTGCTATTATTGCCATAACTTTGAGTTTAAAAAGGGAAAAGATGAACACATGTACACAGTAGGGCACTATAATTTCTCTGATGCAAAAAAAAAAAAAAAAGAGGGGAGGGGGGGGGGGGGGGGGGGATAGAATCCAGTCATAAAAAATTAATTTATTGTATGACACAGAATGTCACATAAACTGACCAAATTTGGATGAATAAATCAAAAGTATGGCTGTACAATTAATCATTAATAAGACTATAGTCACATGCAAACAGAAAAGTAAAAGGTCTTTACTACAACCTGCAAAAATAAAATAATAATACAGTTTATTAAAACATTTTTTTAAGGAATTTCACCACAAGGTTATTGCAGTTTAAAAGATTGTCTATGATTTTTATTATTAAAATTTAATTTCAGTATTAAAACAAAATCAAAATTTGGGGGAAAATAAAACTGATTCCTAACAGGATGGTTGACAAGTTCTCCAGTTGTTTAATGAGGTCAACTAGTCAACAAGGTTTTTTCTATTACTTTATTAACTTTAAAAATTCACCACTATTTTAACACAACCACTAAATATATTAAATATTTAGTTTCCCAGAGAGAAAGCTCTAATAAATTAACTGAAAAAAAGAAAAGAAAGCTACAGTCCGGCATTTTTTTCTCTTTGTCGCCATCTCTGTTCGAAACCTGCAATTGCAGTCATTCGAGGAACTATCAACTTTACGTGAGTTGTACTTCAATACCCTCGACACGGCACAGCATGAATGAACACAATGTTTGAGGAGACTGTGAGGCTGTCAGTCACCGCGCCGATGTGGATACTGCCATTCAGAATCACAAATTATTATTTTGGAAGTATGACCAACATAATTTTAAAATCATAATTATCACAGGAAAATGTCATCTGAACTAGTAAGTAACATCCACTTTTGTTCTGGTTCTGACATTGCAGTGAATCGTGCTGATTAAATCTAACAATATCTTATAAGTTATCATATTACGGAAAACTGTGCAAATTATTCTTTGTTCTCAAATGTTAATGTTAACAACGTCAGCATTGCGTGACTACGTGTAATGTCCTTCTGATCATTGTTTTCGCATGGGTCCGGTTGCAGTCTATTCTTTTCCGTAGCCACTCCGAAGTCCGAGCAAAGTCTTTTTTACAACGGGTGAATCTGCCGTCACTTGTGATTGTCGTTTGAAACTTTCTGGATCTGCCATCGAATTGATAAGTGTAATTATATCAAGTGCTGTGAGAAAAGGCTATAAATCTCCACCTCCAGCATCCTCACTAGCCGAGACTCTTCTTTATGTGTACAGATGTGACGTAATGACGAAAAGACATGCTTGAATCTCCCGCAGAAATCCACCAGTACCACTGGAATTAAAAACATTATTACAAGTTTACAGCTTTGAATCGAGCTAAGGCAAGCAGCCAGATAGCGTTGAACACTGGCTGGTTATGTATTTTCTGAAATTTAGTTTTTTTTTTTTAAAGAAGTAACTGATCCACTTCATGTTGCAGCCTCACCCTAGATGGGGTCAGACCAATATTTAGGTTTGTACATCTTAATATACACAGGCTTGAAAAGAGCACTGAAACGGCACTACTACAAGAGACACATGGAGTTCTCAAAGCTCTAGGGAAAAACATAAATATGCACATAAACACTTCAGTCATTCGCTCCTGAGAAAACACATCGCATGGTTGCCACAACAGCACACTTTTAATAGTTTGCAAAACAGGCCAAAGACCCCCTACTGTCTTCCACAAACACTTGATCCAAGTGCGAGATGTCTTTAAAAAACATAAAATGATACAGGATGCTGGGTGTATATACTACAACACTCATAAGTGGACAGGGGCCTCGGGTCTGGGAGAGGAGTGAGTAAAAGTCAGAAGTGCCATCTGGAACATGAAGTTTCACTTCTCTGGAATGGCTGCACAACCCTAAACTGTGGGATAAACCGTGACCACACAGAAGGAGTGCTTTTAAGACCAAGGACATATCTCAATGCGATCCTGATAATAAACAGTAACGCTTAACTCTGTGGCAATAGGAAAGATATCACATGATGGGGACAATATCGTCCATGTCCACAGTGCCATATATGGTGCTATGAGGAAAACTCCACAGCTCTAGAGGTCAAAAAGGGGCTACGAGAATCAGTGAGAGTTGACCTTAAATGAATAGTTCAGCCAAAACAGAGTTTGGCTGCACTGGAAACATGAATGTGAAATCAACTCAAACTCTGGGACTTGTTCAGGAAGTAAAGTAACCTCCACATGCATTTTAGTTGATGACGACATCATTAGTTCAACGAGGGGATGACAGTGCCACTGTAAAAAAAAATATTTTTAAGATTTGTTATCACAACATTTTTTCTTTTGTCAAATCAACTTCATAGGGCCCTAACAGGATGGTTGACAAGTTCTCCAGTTGTTTAATGAGGTCAACTAGTCAACAAGGCTTTTTCTATTACTTTATTATACTTTACTATTTTAACACAATCACTAAATATATTAAATTTATTTATTAAGTTGAGACAACTTATTATTTTGAGTTTCTGATGATTAAATTAATCTCCTTCACTGTATTAACTCACTTTTTCAAGTTCAATCAACTTAAAATTAAGGCAACCAGGTTACTTACTTTTTTAAGTTAAACCAACAATATTTTTTTACAGTGTGGTGATGATTTACCTTGGATACAAGCGAGAGTGAGCAAAGAGTGCAAATGAATGTCTCGCAATTTGCCGTCTCCTCAGAGCCTGTTTGCAAGCAGCAGAAAGCGACCTTCATGTGACGCACATACAGTAAATCCAAGTGCCGTTCACTCTGCTGTGCGTAAAAGCACCAAGTTTATAAAAATACAATATATTGACCCACATCCAGTTTTTTATAATTGGCCGTGCACATTTGTAATTACACAAGAAGAGCGCAAATGCACCAGGGTTCGACAGAATCAACTTAGTGTAAAACCAAAACAACGCTGCGAGGTCCACCTGGAACAATCGCTCGGGCCGCAGCAAACGTGTCCAGTGTGAAAGCCCCCTAAGAGGACGTATATACTTGCTTTATCCAAGTCATTTCAGCAGGAACTGTAGTCACTACTGTATGTGTAAAAGTGGACTCTGTACCTGGATCAAGAGAGCCGGTGGCTGCTGTCCAGCCCATTATAGGTGGGATGGCGCCCACCACGGCACCCACCCAGGTGTTGGTGATGCTGAGGCGTTTCAGAGGAGTGTAGCAGCACGTGTACAGGAAGATGTTCAGAGCGCCCAGGAAGCCAGTCAGGGGATTCAGGCCCAGGGTCAACAGGGTCACACCTGGGATCCCACACGCCAGGGCGAATGACACGGCATGCAGAGGGCTGAGAGAAAGAGAGATGGAAGACACATTCAGAACAACCAAAACACAGTTCCTATGTGGCGTTTAAAGAGATCATATTTTTATTTCCCCTGAGGTCCACTTATACTCTTACTGAAGGTTGTGGTGTCAAATACAGCCAATTTATTTCTCAAAAATTGGGAAATATATAGCCATTGTGTTAGAAAAACAGATTTCAAACTGGTTTAAATGTCTTGCACTTATACACAGCAAAACATGTGAACTGTAAAACCTTTCTGATGTCAGTACGTTTCAATAGAGTTTCGGTTTTCAATAGGGGATTTTCACGCTGATACGTAGGACTTCCGGATTCAGTGATCTTTGTGCACTGCCACTTCCGTTGAATCACCGATCTCGCTTGCGAACTAATGACGGACTACACTAAGTTTATTTATACGGCATCCCTGGTAAATTAGTCTGATTCACTAAAGTGCCAGCTGCAAACAAATGTGCTACCTTGTTTTATTTTCAAGTTTTAATCCAGTTCTTCCTTATACTCAATTCAGTCGGGAATCCATGAAAACTTACGTAGGGTTGGCGTTGTTGGTTAGATTTACAAATTGGAACAGAGCAGTGACATATATAGCCTTCGTCTCAGCCATTGTTGAACTGCGTCGGAAGTGGACATGCACAAAGTTGACAAATCCCGCCCTTGAAACCAGGAAGCGTGACAATCCCCAATTGATCAAGGAATGATGCGATTCCTCTTGTAAGACCTTAAAACCATCTTACAGATCTGAAACAAGTACCAAAATAAATTAAATGACAAATCAAACCAAAAAAAAAAAATATGACGCATAAGACAGAGTGGACAGAAAAAGCAGCAGGATTAAAGCTCATGTATAACATCAGTTTCTGAGATAAGCTTTAGTGTGGTTCTATGAGTCACATCAAAACAAAGGCTTGTGGGTCTCTGCAACAGATTAAACCTCTCCTGGCCACAGACACTATTCTCTGTGCTCCATTGGACAACCACTTCCTCGAAGGTTTATTAAAAGCAGTCAGTTTCAATCCTGCAGAGGCGTCTGGTTCAAATTCACAGCTAACTGCTCCATAAATTAGAGGAGTATTGAGACAGAGACCAAAGCAGAGAGGAAAAGAGGGCAAATTTTCCGCCCAACAGCAGGAGACTCCATTTTAATGTTATTATCATTGTTATGGCTGTTTTATGTGGTGGAGGGTCTATATGAGCCCCATAAGTTAACAGTTGAGATCAGTTGTTTGAGGGATAAGGCTGAATAACGTTAGGAGCAAAGCCACTGGCATTTCCTCCACTACATCAATAAAAATGCTATTCTAATGCACCATAATAATGTAGATATTTTAAGTTTGTTCATTATTGAATTTATCTAGTGTTACAAAGGTTGTGTTCATCTTATGGGCCATATAAAACAAGCACATGAGTTATTGAAATAGCCATTAGGCCTTGACAATTCAATGTATTTGACGTCATGGTCTCATATGGAAGGAAGGCAAGGCCTAAATCATAACATCATCAACAATAACTCTCAGTAGAAAAAAGAATCAGTCACTTTAGTCTAGTACTTGACATTACACAGAAATGTTTACTTGAGCATAAACTGTGGTTATTTACTCACCCTCATGATGTTCCCAAATTTATCTTTTCCTTTATTATGCGTGACAAGCATTTCAGTAAAAAACGGGTAGTGCTTTGCTCAAAACTCCATTAAAATGTCCATAAAAGTGTGACTGAATCATTATTGACTGAAACGTGTTATGACAGAGGGGAAAATTTGAAGTGAATAAGTACATTATGGTCTGTTCATCAAGCAAGCTTTTGTTCAGCTTCAGAAAACTTGGAATATAGCACATCAGTTTCATTATGTTTTTGTTCATTTTTTTTGCTTCACAGTGCGAATCACTTTCCATTTTCATTTTGTGGAAATAATGTGAAAGCATTCAGCATAACTGCTGTCAAAAGAAGAAAAGTCATGCACGTTTGGAATGTCATGAGACGAGTGAGTAAATGGTTTTCAGAAATGACATTTTGAGTGAAATAAATAAGTACAACATATATACAACACACAAGTTCAAAAGGAATAATTTAAATTGATGAAAAGTGACAGTAAACATTATAAAAAAAAAATCTATTTCAAATAAATACTGCTCTTTTCAACTTTCGATTCATCAAATAATCCTGAAAAATACATATCAGTTTTCACAAAAATATTTAAATGTTTTTTTTTTGTTTTTTGTTCTTTTCATTAAAAAAAAATCATTATAATGATTATATCAAAACCAAGATAATGCATAAACAAACATCAATTGGAGACGTAGTCTGGCAATTAGTGTGCACACTATTCTACTCGGCTACCTATTCTTTCTAGACTATAAATAAATCATAATTGGCAATAAAAATTTTAATTTAAAATAATTTCAATTTCATTTGATTTGAATTTTTTTTAATGTTTTAATCATTCCTGGTCTTATTGTGCTTACTGTGGTTTATTGGTGCACATTAATCATTTTTTTAAATATTTAAAATGTTTTCAATATTTTGATATTAATAAATAAGTATACACCATTTATACAAATCTATTTTGTTTATTTATCTGCTCCGCCTCAGACACAACTTTTCTTTTTAGCTGACAAGAGTTGTTTATGATCCAATCATATCTGGATAGATAAAAAGTCTAATAGATAAATATAAATGTCCAATTCTGCATTTTTTTTCTTCACATTGAACTTCCTCTTTTATTAAAAAATGTCATGTTATATTATTTAAAATAAAATGTGAAAACAATTTTATTTCTTGATTTCTTACAATTATTGAATGATCATGAGACACTAGACTGAAGTAAAGATGCTGAAAATTCAGTTGTCATTACAGGGAAAAATACATTTTAAAATATATTAAAATAGAAAATGAAATAAAATTCTATACATATATGCAAAAAATACAATGTAACAAGCCTTCTGATAAATAATAAAAAAAGAACATACAAAAAGTCCACACAGCGATCTTGCGAAAGAAAGGATTCACAGCTGTGAGATTCTGCTTTTCTTTGTCAAATGCACATCTCTGCCTTCAGGCTTACATCATAAGAATGTGACAGTCACACGCACACAGACATCAAAGAGGACAGTGTCATCTCAAGTCTGGGTAATAATATACTGAGATGTGTATGAGTGCTTGTGCGGGCGTAAACAGGTTGCGCTAGGAGACATTGAATGCGTGTAATAATGACACGTTTTGGTGACTCTACTGTTAGCATTCTGTGCATTTGTGTCCGGGTCTAGAGATTCTACATATCTACAATGCGTTCCTCCTGTCACTGACAGTCAGACTGGATCTGTGTTCATTGTTGGAGTGACAAAAAGAGAGTGCATATGATGGCTGTCAAATCACATCCATCAGCTTTGATATAAATGCTGCTCTTTAATCCACCTGCGTAGACCTCCTACAGTGCGGCTGAATTAGCGCCGTGCTCCTGAGAGGTTAAACCCTACAGTAATTAACCAGCTCTGGGGGGATGTTTCCAGAAGTTTGAAATAGAGCACTATTTATCAGCTCACCTCTTTATCTTCTGCTCCAAAACGGATTTAGAAAACGAGCCTGGATTTAGGCTGTGAGGAATGTTGTGTTTGAAAGGGAGTCAATTGCACAGCTATATATTTTCCAAACCAAGATAATGCATGACATTACAATTGCCTGCAAACATAAGCTTAAAAAACATCATTTGGAGACGCAGCCTGGCGATTAGTGTGCACACTGTTCTACTTGACTACCTATTCTTTTTAGACTATGAATAAATAAATAATAATAATAATTGGCAATAAAAATTTTCATTTCAAATAATTTCAAATTTGATTTTAATTTTTTAAATGTTTTAATCATTCCTGGTCTTTTTGCGCTTACTATGGTTTATTTGTGCACATTAATCAATATATTAAATATTTAAAAATGTATAAAAAAATATTTGTATATTAATAAATAAGTACACTATTTCTACACATCTATTTTGTTTATTTATCTGCTTAGCTTTTAAGCTGACAAAAAAGCTGTTTATGATCCAATCATATCTCGTTAGATAAAAAGTCTAATTGATAAATAGAAATGTCCAATTCTGCATTTTTTTCTTCTCATTGAACTTCTCCTTTATTCAAAAATGGAATATTATAGTATTTAAAATAAAATGTGAAAACAATTTTACAATTACTTTGCATGAAATATTTACCATGCATATACAGTTGTGCTCAAGTTTACTTTCACATTCGCAGAATGCGCAATATGTTAACTATTTTAACAAAATAAGAGGGATCATACAAAATGCATGTTACTTTTTTTTTAGTACTGCCCCGACAGTTGACAGTTGATTGAACTTTATGACATTATGAAACCTCATATGTATCCTGGAGATGGGCAGCGTCTTCGTTTGAGAGTGTGTGTTTGGTTTGGGCTGTTTGGATTACTCTGACTGCTCGAGTCATTCATTATACCCTCACGTCAACAGATCTGCCCCTTTTGTTGTTGGAAAGTGACCCTCGAGGGAGTGAGAGAGGGCAGGGGTCCTGTTCAGTTAAATTCCACTAACACACCCAATTAGTAAGAAGTAATGGCTGTCAAATGTGTGTTATCACGTGTGTAAAGATGCCTGAGATGGATATAGAATGCTTCCTGATTGTTTAAATTGACTATTTTAATCAGAGCTATAGTGTAGCTGTTCTAGATGTTGCACTATGGTGCTTTGCATGTTCGTGTCCAACATGCCCCATAGAGTGAATCCTGCAGAGATTACATATTTTTGTAGATCAAACACTGGAAACGAGTTAGCATTTTACCACTTCCGGTTCCATTTTCAGTGAGTCAAAACGTTTTTTTTTTTAAATAGGTTTTAAGTTAAATGCCTGAAAAAATGGTCTGAGGTGAATACAAGCTCAAGATATTTTTTTTACTCTTTATTTTACAACATAAAATACATCAGTGATACCCTCTTGTGATTTTATAAAGCTTTTACTTGTCTTGATAAAGGAGGTTGCTAATACGTAACAAAATGGTACTAAAGAGGTTATTAAATGTCACAAGAAAAGGTAAACTCTTCCACTTACAAGTCCACTTTCACTTCCTCATTCATAATCACGCTCTTGCAACCAATTCTAACTAAAACTTTGAGGAAAAATGGTTTTAAATCAAGACTGAAATAGCTGTCGGAAACTTAATGGTGGTAATGGAGTCGTGTAACCATGGTGTAGTTTGTTTATAGCCTACATTTAGCTTTTTGACTTCTGCTGGTTGCACTTATACTTCAAAAGTCATTAAATTTGTTCAATTCTTGCATTGAATTTTTGTTAGTCACAGAGCTTATTTTCTGCAATAATCCAAAAGCCAAACAAAAACATATTATTGTTTTATTGTTGAAGGAATCAGGGTGATGCTAATCTCCAGATGGGCCTACAAAATGTCATCACCGCAGCACTCCATTCCTTGTCTTATAGCCTAATAATATCATGAAAAAAACCACAAAACTTCTTTAAAACAGTTTAGCATGCTAGTCTAACAGCATGGAGAAGTTAACTGTAAATGCCTCCATTTTAAAGCATCCAAAATAAATTTGGTAACCTCACTACTAATCGACTAGTCTGTTGGTGGATGGATGACCATACTGGACCCTACTGGACCGTCCTTTGTCAGCAGTGGAGTGAGACGGGAAGAACAGAGAGTGGCACACCTACACACTTGGATCAGGTTACACAGGACAGGTGCGCGAGCGGCTGGCCAGCGCTACAGATATTAGACAATGGTGTTTCTGATATGGCAGGCTCAGCTATACACAAACACTGGGCTATGAGAACAATGTAGAGAGTAAATGATGTACATAATGAGAGTAAGGAAGCCATTTTTTTCAGCAGTGGCCTTTTACACATATCAAGAATGTGTTTGAAAACCGAGTGAGGTGCCTACCTTTCTGGACAACACAAGCATGTTTGAATCTACATGTAATGCCCAAAAATGCAGTCTAGGTAGGACGCTCACTAATTTTTAAAACTGAGTGAGAATTGACCCTTCGCTAAGCCCCGCCCTCCCTAGTTACTGTTGCTACGCCTGTCAAGCTTTCGCGGCTGGCCCATCTATTGTAGTGTGGATGCACCCGGTGTCAGACATTCCCAATCAGATAATTAGTCATTTTCGGCGAACAAGTGAAATATCTGAGAGAGAAAGACAAAAGGGACTACAGTATGCATTCGAGGGATATATTCACGACATTATATGCAACCGATTAGAGAATAATTTCCTAAAAATTGAAGTTAAAGCCTAACGTTTTAGTCCCAGCGCGAGCAGCAGCGCCTCATGCGCTGACCGTTCAAATGGGAAACACAAATTGAGGAACAGCTATGTTCATACACAGCAGGGTATGTGAAAATAATCTTAATCATTATAAATCAAACAGCTTATCAATAAATCTTGTGGAATAACACTAATACCGGGAGAGCCGCGATCGGATTGGGTTAAGTTACTTAGTAAGGGGTAACGTTAGTAGGACGTCGATTAACAAAATGCTGAAATATATTTTAAAGTATGTCAGTGAGCCTTTGTCTTGTCTCTTTAATCGTCTAATTTTACGTTATATCCTTATGACCAAAGAACCGTCAATATTTCCAAGCAATAGGTGTTTTTGTTAAGCATGTCGACATTTACCAGAATGGGTCTCGCACATAGATGCTAGATCACGCCAATCATTTCTCCCCTTGGCTTTTAGATTTTCTGGAAGGAAAACAATTCCTCTCCATCGTCCAAACTTTTATGTATCATAGGGACCGGTATCAGACAATGCTTCAGCATGTTCCCTCGTTCGAAAGCTTGCCAGACCTCCCGCGCATAGTTACGGTTGCTAAGACATGATTGGCCAGTGGCGGTTTTCGGGCGTGGCTTAGCGAAGGGTCAATTTTAAAAGAGTCAGATGCAGGTTTTAAAGGGCCTTACCTGATCTGTCCTCTGACCAGAGGTCTGTTTTTGGTACGATTCATGTTTGAGTCAAAGGGGACCTCGAAGTACTGTTGGGGGAAAAATGATAAATTAACACAAGGTACATTAACAGCACAAAAAGTCTCCTTAACACACATACGAACCATCCTACATGTAAGTATGCATAACCCTGTTTTCCAATCCAGATCTTTTCCAGACTAAATATAACATTGTCATTGTAACATACATTAGACAGAAGAAACATAATTTTATGCAATTATTTTTCACAACAGTATTTTCATGTTTAAAAACATCGCAATTCCACAAATCGCATTACACTAAAGAATAAATTGCAATATTGTATTGTGACCCAGATATCAAATATTACATAGTGATAGTACTTTTGCAGAGAAAAACTCTGTGATAAGTCATAAATCTTTGATGAAATGAAAGGTCAAAACAACAGAATTTATCTAAAAATGTGTGTATATATATATATATATATATATATATATATATATATATATATTTTTTTTTGAAACAATGTAAGTCTTTAGTTTTTGACCACTTTAAGTATCAAATTAATCGTATTGACCGCTAACTTTTGAAATGGAATAGCCTATATACAATTGGTTATTGGAGTATTCTAAAACAAATAATCAAATTCACGCTGCTGTAGCAAGATTGGTTGCACTTTTCTCTTTGCAGCATACAAAAAAACCTCAAACACTTTCTCTGAAACATCTGCTCAAGATATCCAGCAAATGCAAATGCAATTCAAACCCATAAATGGATCGATATGAATGCATGTGTCTGAGACAGAACGACAGAGGTTGCTTAGGTGCAACGGGGATGATTAAGGTAAAAAAAAAAAAAGAAAAGTTTGTGTTTTATAGCTCCTGCTGGGGAGTCTGCACAAAATTCACTTCGGGGAATCTACAATGTGAGACTAAAACACAAACACATGGGGCATTTAAAGCCAGGAACCGGTTATTCAGTCTGTGAGAGACAGCACAAGCACCTAATGAAGAAAACAGATAGCTCACTTTTCAACTGAAGAATTTCAGGATCCATTTCTCCTAAAATATGGCCACCATAAAATAACTAATAAACAGATAATCCATTTCTCTTTTCCTCTCTTAATTTACTGTCCATTTGACATCGTAAAAGAGTCCACGCTTGAAAATGGTCTTGTGGTAGGTAATACATTTCACACAGATTACATTTATATTTTGTTAGATACCTCAGAGAACGGGACCGTACCACTGCGGAGGACAACAGGGGGAAATACATAATTATCTGTGACGGTGCGTGTCTGTTTGGCCTTTCTAAGCGTCCCCTTGAGTTTAAAGAGGAACCCTGCTAGTGCTATTTGCAACAAATAATAACATACATCAATTACATGAGACTTCATGCATTTTTACATAAGGATAAGAACAAAAAAAAAAAACTTCATACTTAGACTAATGTAGGACAAACGGACAGGTCAATAAAACATCTCAAGGAGGTAAAAAAACACACTCTTTGACAAACGTGTCTAAAAGCAGTCACAGAAGATTGATGCTTTTTCATTTTGTTTCAGCTATTTTTGGCAGCATTTTCAAACTCGGACCAATGTCATCCAAAGTGATAAAGTAGCCTGATACAGTCCAGAGGAAGCTGAAGCCCAAAGTGTGTTGTATAAAGTTGAGTGGAGGGTCTGCTGTGTCTCAAATTTATTCTCTCGGCCGTTAGTGTTATTGCACCCGAGATCCCGGACGGGGCAGGGCACAGATGTGGCCGTAGCTGAGGTCCCTGCAGTTTTAGGATGAGGTGTTAATTCTATTTCCTGGGTCAGGAAATGCGTCAGATGGTCGCCACAGAGAGAACTGGAGCAAATTTCTAGTGCTGGAATAGTCTCTGAAGTATTAGCCGGATGCTAATACGATTGTTGCAGTGTGTATCTTGGCTACGACTGCACATTTCAGACCTGTGAGATTTCGAAAGTCTTGTTAACCTGCAAAAGGACAAAGTTTACACTAAAAGACTCCCAATAGTCAGTATAAATGCAGTCTGGGACTGAACACTAGCTTTGGAGCAATCACAAGAGTAAGCAAAAAGACTAAATGTATTCTGCAATACTGAAAAGGCAACCAGGGTTTTGAGTGTTCAAGACGTTTTCGGTGCCTGTCAGAAACACTTAGCTCTAAGGCATTGTCTTATTTCAGTCTATCTTCATACATTTTTCCCCTCTCAGACTGGTACATCATCTGGTTCACATCAACACCCCTTCAGTACGCTTATTGCTGGTGAAGATCATGCTTTTTAAAAAAGAAAAGTGAGTACAAGTGTTACAAATGAATATGAAGTGCATGAGATTGCGGGCTGTCAAATCTACGATCAAATCTAAGATTATTTGTATTGTTCCTTCTGTGGATCTCTCCATATCAGAATGTTACCATAACTTAGAAAATGACTAGGGATTCATATGGTTGTGTTATTAAAGAGATAAAAGACAGTGCAAGAGTAAATCTGATTTTAGTCTGATAAAATAAATTAACTAAAATGTAAAATAACCGTTCTCTAATGTCAGCATCATTACTTCAGTCTTAAGTGTCACATTATCCGTCAGACATCATACTAATATGTTGCTTTGGTGCTCAAGAAACATTTCTTATTATCGAAGTATTATCGAACACTAAGTTTGATTTTTTTCAAGATTCTTAGATGAATCGAAAGCTCAAAAGAACAGCATTTATTTGAAAAATAAATCATTTTAAACATTTTAAATAACTTTACTGTCACTTTTGATTGATTTAATGTGCAAATTAAAGTTGTTTTTCTACTGTCCTCAAACTTTTGAAGGGTATTGTACATTTGGGATGCATATAAAAAAAAATAATAAAGCATTTTAGAGCAGATAGACTGCCAGGGAGAGCACCAATCAATGATTCTTTGGACAAAGAAAACCATCTGAGAGGTCAAAGAAGTGGACATAAGAGCAAGAAGGCAGAGGGCAGAGAATTAATTGTCAAAGTACAGGCAATTTTTTTTTTTTTGACTATGTGATATTAGAGGCCTGATCAATTCTGCTTCTAAAATCTGAAAATGTCAATTAGTGAAAGGACCTTAATGTACAGAATTTAAAATGTAAACTTTTCACTAGGCATATATAGGCCAAATAATTAGTCTTTACCGCAAAGCGATTTGTTAAAGCAAAATTCTGTGCGTGTATAAAGGAACCTTTGCATTTAATCCTCATTCTGCTATCCTTATGGACTCCTTATGGAGTCTCAGTATATTTATAAAATTGCTACATCAGCACGAAACTGCAGAGTTCACTGTACTCGCAGTGACATGGCTCTGGGTTCACTCACAGTGAAAAGCAATGTGACTGCAGCAGCGTGGAAGGACAAAGTGACACGCACAGCAAACAAATGCTGCCTGGACTATGAGACTGTACTAACTAACGCTGATGAGAAACTTACTGTAACAGTGACAAGTGTTTACTGAAGGGAAGTGTATCCGAGGGCAAACACACTTACATAAGCATGCAAACAAACACACAGAATTTAGCCTAAATATTCTCACGGAGAGAAACACACGTGCATGGAGCCCGAATAAATACACACTTATAACGCAGCTGCTGTATATGAGAAAGACGTCGGCGTTGATCAGTAGAAATTGGTCAAAGTAAACACCACCTGCTCAAACACCTACTCAAAAACCTCAACTTCTTTCTTCCACCTTTGCAAACAAAAAGTACAATCCCAATTCTCAATCAGCGCTGTGTACACTGTAAGTACATGCATTCAAAGATAATTCCTCATGCTGTCAAAGTCCAGGTGCAGAACCAGAGTTCAGGAGTTGATGAGGTAATACTCTATCGATTTAACTAAATTACCTGACAAATTTCTAAAGAACAGCAGCAGAAAGCTTCAGCTGCAAATCATCTCAAGTCCTTTTGAAAGAGAAATTCCTCTTTAGTTACAGCGACCGTTGAATCATTGTGGTTCAAGTTCAACTTGAGCTACGTGCGTTTTGCCAGGAACCTGTAGAAACTGCTCGCAAGAACACTATGCTCAGCCATGTAGTAATTATAGAGAGTGCCTGCAATATGATTATGCTTTAAAAGGTGCATGACTGGATCACAGTCAGCTGCATTACAATTATGAACTGCATTTCCTATTTTTTGGAGAACAAAGGAGAAGAACCTCTAAATTTGTCATTTATGATTACAACTGTTCGACAAGTCAACTGCATGGACTGAATCTTACCTTCCTGACACACCTGAAGAACTAATGTAAATGAATGAATCCTACAGACAGGGATGTTTGTGATCCCTGGTCAAAATGTTGATGTTTGGACAATTTTTTTTTAATTGTCATGATGCCTTAACTTCAAACCTCTGAATAATGGTTTCAGAAGGATCAAAAACGTACACTCACCTAAAAGGATTATTAGGAACACCTGTTCAATTTCTCATTTCTCGAACCTTTCTAAAGAATGCTTTCAGAATCAATGCCACGTAAAATTAAGGCAGTTCTGAAGGCGAAAGCGGGTCATATTTGATATATTTTAGTAAGATTTTATTTTGCAATTGCATTTTATTTTGCAATTTGCAATGACTAATAAATGGCCAAAATAATAAAAATTCAGATTTTTTTGTAAAAAATAAATGAATAAAATACTCTAAAATAAAATAGTTACATAGTTACTAGTTAAGCCAAGTTCACACTACATGATTTTAAGCCCGATTTATGCCCGATTTGCAAATCGTTGAGTCGCCGACAGGTCAGGGTGTTATCGCGTGCAAATCGCTGGAGATTAGCGGACGATGAACGCTTGCCAATCTGTTAGTATGAAAGAGCCAACAACGCAGCGAAAACGCTCGCAGACGCGTCGCCGAGCCCAGAAAAATATCTAGCCTGCTAGATATCCAGAGCAGTCGCGCGACTCAAACTCAGTGATGTCATGAGTACAGCCAATCATAGCAACGCATGGGTTGAGGACACCAGGTAAATCTTAGTTTTTCTCTCTTTTTTTGCATTTTTTCCCTCAGAGCAGATCGTCGAGCAAACAGTGTGCAGTACTAGTTTCTGTCTGAAGT